CCACCTCCATGCTTTATGACAGCTGGGATAGGAAACAGTCTCGCTACAACACCAAGAAGCATTAGTGGTTAAGACAATGTATATTTGGATAGATGATTGGGTCTGTGCACACATTTCTTTCCAATATCAATAAAGAAAATGACATAAGTTCTATATATATTTAATAACTTTTCTATAGACCTGCCTACTTCTGGTATAAATATAGGTATGCTCGCAATAAAAACACCAATATAAATAATTCTGGGTTTAAAAAAAATATGTTAATGATACATCACTTGGCATTTCGTTTATTATTCTAGTTGTATTTGAAACAAAGGCACTGGCAAACCTGACGTGTTTCACTTTGATGCCTTGATCAGAGAAAAAGCCTTGTTGCTGCTGCTCTCTTTATTTCAAACCTCACACCACGAGGTGACGATGTGACAGTTTACCGAGGCTAAAGAATTCATCTGTCCGGGCCTGCTAGCTCGAGACACGCCTCGATCTGTCCCTCTAAGTGACACGCTGTGTCTATTTCTTTGTTGGCCCCTCCTGTCTGACTTTTTAATTCAGTCATCATTTTTTAAGCGGTAGTCTATCATATTCCTCCTCAGTTAAAAATATGTGCGCAGCTAAGTAGAACAGAGCAATATTTCCTCTTTCATGTCCTCTTCGTCTGGTCTCTTGAGTCTGTAAATCTAAGTGGCTTGTTTCCCCAACATTGTGGCTCACAATTAAACAAGGAATAAAAATATATTTGTTTCAAATGCTATTAATTAGTGTTCTGTCTCCCTAACAGTTTGTCTCATACCACTAATAATTCCAGTCCATTAGTTTTGAACCGTAATATTAATTAAACATTTCCCACTGAATCCCAATGCTACTAATACTGAGTGGTTATCGCTGACTGTTCTCACATGCTTGATTAACAAGATGTCTCTTTTGCACTTTGCCCTGATGCTTACTTAAGACCTGACATTTACACCTGGGCTGTTGTGAAGGGAACTTGCAACAACAATGCAGGAATTCCACAACTAACTACCCACTGATTATTACTACAACACTAAAAAGGTGTCTCTGATTATGTTCTACAAGCCATCCACAAACTTGTGGTCTTGTCTTTATTCTGCTTGTGCATTTACATTTTTGTCTTGTCAGTGCTGTCCCTGGTAACTGCTTGTGTTAAATTGCTTGTTGGTTCTATATAAATAGCTCCTCAATCTGTCGTATTCACGCTCTTAGTCCCTGGAACAATACCTTTTCTTATTCCATCCTTTTTTTTCCTTTCTGTTAATAAATAATACTGGGTTGCAAATCAATGATATGCTCCCCTCTTTAAGTTGCATAATAAATGCTCGTTTGGGGAACTAGACACAAAAAAGTGACTCTATGCCTGGAAAGAATTACATAACATCCTGCAGACTGCATGTAATGTATTTTATTTTTGCTGTGAGCCTAATCAATATTTGGGAAAATGAGCTGTTGCTTTTATAGTATCAAAATTTGAACTCATTTACTGACATAACCATAAATGAGGATATTTTTAGATGGAGTTTCCTTTAGTGGTGATATAACTAGAATGAATAAAGCTTCAAATCCTAGCTTATATCAAATCTTGATGTAATTGCAGTGTGTTGGTTCACTTGTTTTACTTCACAAAATCGAGCGTATGCACTGGGTAAGATGGATGAGTTCAATACTTCCACTAGGAAAAAGTAATATTTCCATGGACAAAGAAAATATTTGAAATGGTCGGGAAAACCTTTTTTTAAAAACTTTGTAAGATTACGTTTATAAACAGGGTCAAGGTAAATAGTTCTTTATAATAGTATAATATAGTTACTGTATATGGGATGTTATGTGTGCTTGTTTCTTTCATTTAAGACAAAAATGTAAAAAGTAGCGTATGTTAAAATAAATGACAGTAACACTGGGAAGCACAAATACTCCACATTTACAAGAAGTCTGATATTGAAAATTTGACCTAAGAATGGATATCATGAGTAAATATGAAAGTATTCATATGCCCTGTCACCAACATGTCATTATGAAGCTGAAGTGACTTAAGAGCAGCCACAATTGGTATTTTTGGAGATAATTGAAAAAAAGAAACAATCAGCAAATGCATTTATGCATTTATTGATTATTTGTTTGCCAGATCAGCTTTTTTATGGTAAAGTCAATATGAGTTTGGGTTTTTTTAATCTTGGTCACATAAACAAGTAAAGTCTCATCACCGTGAGCTCTGGGCATTACGAGGTTGTCTGCTTCAGACTCTGAGCACAATATCACTTGAACATCTTGCACAAAATTTGCACAAATATTCCTTTAGATTCAAACATGAACAAATCTGAATTTGGTTTATGAATGTCAGGGTAGGCGTTACCTCACATCTGACCCATTATTTGTGAAAGCAATGCCACAGGAACCCATGGATGGGATTTCATTACATTTGGCAAAACCATTCACTTGATTAGAATAAGGTTAGAGGCCACGGTGGCCTCATAAAACACATTTTAGCACTAATGTCCAATTGGACAAAAAGGCCAAGTGATTGCATTTTACACCTAAAGGTATACTCAGGAAGCCTGTTGATGCAGTGTTTTACTAATGTATTATTTCATAGGAAAGTGTAAATTGAGGAGGATTTTAAACCAAAGTACAGTTATTGCTTAAGAGCCAACAAGCAGGGAAAATATCAATTCAATCTCCAGGTAAAATCTACACAAACACATTAACTACACTCAAAGTTTGACTGGCACCCTTCTGCTCAATTCGCGCCACGGTGCAGAAGAGGGCTAACGATTGCTGAAGTTTAGATTGCTGTCCCCGTGAAGCTAAAAATGTATGAGCTCCAGAAAGAACACTCACGGTTGTTTTTAAGACAAATTACAAACGCTTTGCTGACTGAACCGTTTGCTGAAATTAATCTTGAAATAGATTGTGTCTGCCGGAAAACGCGTTTCTGTGTTGTCTAGACTATCTAAGGTAATGCAATGTGACAATTAAAGCTGGAGGCTTGGCTATAATTTTTTTGGGTAATGAGTCTGAGCCATTGATCTGATTCATTTTGACACAGTAAACAGCCTATAAGCATAAAACACCATCTGCTTCAGCTGCCGTACAGAACATTAACTTCATGAACTTCAGACATCTTTAATATGCCACATGTAATATTTTTGCTGTTAGAATAAAAAAAGAAGCTGTTATTATATTGGACGCAGTGTCTCCGTCATCACTGATGTTATTCAGTGACATTTATAATATTTATTTCTGTGTTTTCAATATATAAGGAGCCGAGCTTTAGCCTGAGTTCTGCTGTTAAACTTAACCTTTTGATTAATACCTTTTGGCTTCACGACTCTCTCTCACATGTTCCCTCTCACTTTCAGACACAAACACAGACACACATACTCTCTCTGTCTCACACAAGCACGCACATGTGCAAATACACATGCAGTCACGCTTCTATCACTCCCAAGAACATTAACTTCCTTTGCTACAGTCTTACCCTAACCCTTAACATAGCTGCTAACTCCCTAACCCTAACCATTACCACATCTTAACCTAAGCCTAGCCTTAAGCGCATCTTCAAACTAAATTATTGTAATTTACACTGTGGGCATGCTTTCCTTTCGTCCCCAGAAGGAAAGCATGCCCACACATTGAGACTCTGTATGCACATTTATGTCCCCACGAGCAGAGTAATACAGGAATATACACGCGCACGCACACACGCCTGTCATGTAATCATGAAATCACTTCCAGTTGCAGATGGTGACTCATCTTTTGTCCCTGGTGAAACCATATCTGGCAATGAGGTCGTAAGACATTTCAGATGAGGGGCGATGTGGTGTGCCACTGTGCCGGTCACCCCTCTCCACATGGGGAACTCCTCACCAAACAGCATGCTTTACAGCTGGTAAAAACAAAGATATTAGCCTCCTGTAAAGCTCACCACTTGCAAATAAAAATGTGAAATACTGTACTCCGATTCAAACTGTATAACATCATTATCAGCATGCTGCTCAGATGTGAGAAAATAAAAAGTTGAAAGATTTTCAGCACTTACACTGTGGTGTTGCTCTTTAGTATTTCAGTTTGGGGTTTTTTTAAGACTTCTTCTGCCCACAACTGTACTACAGATATCTCACGTTTATGGGGGACTGACTATTACATGCAGTAGTTTGAACAATCAGTCTGTGGATCATAGTGCCATATACTTGATGCCAGTCATTATAATACATTTAACTTGCTGAGTGCGTGGGTGTGGTGGACACAAGTCCAATTGCAGTTTATTTTACAGTGCTCAGTAAGACACGGGCTGCGTCATGTCGACAGACATTGAGAGGCAAATCTCCATCAGCATCAGGTGTTAGTCAGTGACCTCGACCTCGGTTCCAAGACTGAGAGTAAAATTACCCCCACCACCAACACCACCACCACGGCTCTCGCAGATGCATCAACAGCCATCGGTACTTATCTTGATAGGAAGCGTTGTGTCGTTACACACCGTCTGCTCTCTAATTCTCCCCCTCCGACCACAGCGGAGGGCACGCATTCGTCTCAGTTACAGACAACAATACAAACACACGCACCTCGAAGCTGCACAAACACGACAGGCTGCTCATCAAAATGACCTTGTGCATGTATGCTCAGGTCACCCCGTGCAAGAACGACCGTGCAAGGATGCGACCGTGCACACTGGATCCAAATCGAGAACAACAAGTGCTCAAGTGGCTGGCTCACAGACAGTCACTATATTGCTACCTTGGATGTATTGCAGCACCCCTTCTCACTACCATGCGAAGCTTTTCAGTGCGTTTTGGTGAAAGGCAAACAGGCACTAATAAAACCATGACAGCAGTAACCATTAGCTTGTTGGAATGACCCCCAGCATCATTACTTGACATCAACATGGCACACTCAAGGGCATCTGGCAATCAACGCGAGAGCTTTGAACTATGCAGAGAGCCTGATTAAAATTATCCACTGATGGCCGCTGAAATATTTTTGCTCACCTTTGCTGTTATCTGCTCCTCCGTTGAGATGCATGACTCTTCTTACCATTCACTCATCTAGACTGTCTTTTTTGGGGGTGTTGTTTGTTTGGGGGGTTTTTTGCAAAGCTGTGCGCTTTTCCAAAGAGTTCAGTCTTATTCCAATTTATTTGTGGTCCTTTGCCCGCTTTAATGTCTTGTTCGTCTGCCGGTTGGCACGCATGGACGCGCCTCCACTTGTGCGTCCTCCTCCCCTTGTTGTGCTGGAGAAGATAGTCTAAGTGATGTTGGGAGTATGTGTTTTGGCTCGCTCTCGCTATCTCTCTCACTTTCTCTCTCAGTCTCTATTTTTTTAAGCCCAGAGTCGCTCAAAGGGTTGGTCGCAGGAAGGGTTTTAGGGGAGGAGACGGCAAGCAGACGGGCGGGGTGACGTGAAGTAAGTCGGTAGGAGGTCGTCTACTCAGAGCCGAGGCGAGGAATCCGTGCGCCCTCGGTGCTGCTGTCCATTTCATCTGAGGTCTTCATCTCATCACACAGAGTCAAAGCCTCTCTTTCACTCCGAGCTGCACAATGAGAGGCTCCTACTGTCATGTGAACCGGAGCCTTTCCGAGCTTTTTAATAATAGAGGTAATTCTGACAGACAATCGATTCTAGTAACCATACAGTCTGCTACAGAAGTCTGTCGCTACTATGTGAGATGATAAAAAAAAGAGCCCAGAAGAGGGAGGAAATAAATAAATTACACAAATTACTGATCTAAATAGTAAGTGCTGATCACCCTCATCTCCGTGGCTTCACTACGGATCGATAGCCTAATCAGTGGGATTCATGTGAGAATCTCTGCGAATATTGATACCTTTTACGCATAACGTGTCCAAGTTGTAGCCCATACGTTTTGCTCTAGCTCACGTGTTGAGCCTCTAGTAAGCTTTTCATTAGTGGTAGTGTCATGAGCAGTCTGTGCGTTTTAATTATTATAATAATGCCATTACAGCCAAAAGGCCTATACAGTCGATAAGGCACATTTACTCACTATTCACGTTCGCCCTGAATCACGCGTGGATCGTGGCTCAATGGCGATCTCTAGTGTTGTGTTACCCATCAATCAGTCACCTGGACGCTGTCTTTCGGTTAAACGTATAATATAGGAGGTGTTACAACTAAACTGAAAGTCGCATGCAGTGTTAATAAAGAAGTCGAAGAAAAGTGTTTAGCGGGCAAATTATATATAAAAAAGTAATAAAACGTTAAAGATGAAGATTACAATGTGAGCATGGCAATAAAGTGCTTTAAAATTTTCTAGCTTTTAGGTTCTTGTAAATGTGTCCTTGAAATGCACTTACTGAATATCTTTTAAACCGTTTTCTCTTCTATTCTTTGTTCCTGTGTAATCGATCGTTTTGAAGCCATAAAAAGACAGAAATGCAGCACAGAGCTGGTAACCTGATTGGCGATTTTATTACAACAGAATCTCAACTTATTTATTACTTCAGCCTAATGCGATTGCGTGTCTGAGAGTATTTTTGATCATTAATATTTTGTTAATATTTCATATTTTATTAGTTTTTTTTTAAAAATCCATTGGTGTGTACATTTTTCCAACTAGAATGGCATTTTGAAAAATGCACTATATGGAATATGATTTATCGGCTCTAAGTTGTTGGTGATTTTGAGCCACAGAGCAACCAAAATTAACACCAAAGTTGAGTTGTCAATAATTTGCTAAAGACCTGGAAAGTGACACAAGCAAGCAAGTTTTGTTTGTTGGTTTGTTTGTTCATCACAAATGGGAAACTCCCAAGAGTGGAACATTTCTTGGCTCTTAAACTGTTTAAGTCAACATAGTACATTCATGTGAAAAAGAAAGTTTTCACAAGCAACCCTGAAAAAATAAAGTCCAACCTTAACCTTGCTTCCATAGGAATGACCAGCCAGGTGGGGCTACCCTTAATTGACTGATTATCTCCAGGTTTTGGTTTTGGTAGTTTGTTGGTCTTCACCCAAAGGTCAGGTGGTGCCAAAACAAAGAGAAAGCACAAGTATGGCTGTTTGAACGGGTTGTCAGCAGAAAGCTTGTGTTTCTCTAAAAGGAGCACAGCTTTGGTTTGCAAAGTTGCATCTAGACAGATGGGACCAGAGTGAAGATGTCTGGCCATAATGTACAGCACCACATTTAGTGAAAATCAATTCAAATTACTTTATACATCCACTTCAAACAATTCCAACTTGTAAGGAAGAAGCACCCCCAGTTAACCATTATTTTAGCTTTTTTTTTTACCCATTGGAAGAGCTATCTTCAGCTTCTTGCTGTAAATATAGTGCAGCTCAAGTGTAGAAGTTAATCATCCATGTCCTCATTGTTTTAGGGGAGGCCCAGAATTATTTTTAGTTTTATCTTTGAAGTAACAGTGAAATTTTATGTCAGGGATATAAAGCATTTTTCAATTTGCAGCATGTAGCAGTGTTTTATCTCAAAAAGCTCAGTGCCAGTTGACTGCTCTGCTGTGTTGACTCAATGTTACACCTTTGTTCAGTTGTTCAATCACACAGATTTCTGTCTGACACATTTCTTGTGATAGCACCTCTGACATCTTGTATGAGCTTTGTGCATCTGTGTAAAGCAGATAGTTTTACGATTTTGCTTTTGTTGCCTCTGCTTTATGTCAAGTGTGGAATGCATTTAATCTGTTGCATAAACATTCGATTAATTCTTGAAAAATACGCTTCCCTTGCATATGGACAGAAAGTTCTCCTTCTCACTCTCACAGCTTCATCTTTTTTTCGCACTGTCACTGTGATGCATATTTATTAGCCTGTCACAGTGCCTCCTCTGAACGCAAAACAACACATTCATCAGCCCAACTCGAGCCGTGCTTTAATCCCTCGGGTGTTTTCGGTGACGTTGCGAAATATCGTCACAGTCTGGAGAGATGTTGGTTTATTTGAAACAATAAAAGAGTGATTCATGAGCGCTCAGATTCCAGGTAATCTTAGACTCATCATATCACAATCAACAGCACTGTTAGAAACATTACAGCTGAGCTAGTTTAAAGCAGCCCAGGGAATATCGTTACAGCCTATTTATCTCAAATGTGCAGAAGTCAAATGACAGCTTTTATGATTTTCCAGAATATGAAACTAATAAAACTGCTTTTGTATGTCATTCAGAACTCAGTAGCCAATTTTGAACAACTGGAAATATATACTTTTTAAACTTTTACAAGTTTAAAAACAAAATGTCAGTCTTCCAACACTTTACACCCTTTGGCAATCCAAATTATGTTAAAGTAAGTTTGGTTTAATCAATCTTGAAATGCCCTGAAGCTGACTGAGACCTTCTGGAAGGTACACCTGTGTCTCTGAGGTCCTACAGATCTGACTGCATGTTGTGGCAAAAAACAAGTACTAAGCGCCAAGGTATTCTTTGTAGATCTCTGCGATAACTGTGGCGAGGCATTAGGGCAATAATCTCAGCACCACTCCAAATCATTGTAAAGCAGCTAGAAAGGCACTCTTTCCACCTGGAGTTTACCATATGTGGTTTAAAGTACTAAGGGGAAGAGCTAAAGTGATGTCTGCTCTAATGAGATTAAAACAGAGCTTTCTGGCTGAACTCCAAGTTACTGTTTATCACATGGTTAATACCATCTCTCTGGAGAAACGTGGTGGTAATAGCATTGGGTTCTGGGGTTGCTTTATCCTTTATGATTGGTTCTCTAATTATTTGTAACCCAGTTGTCATGTATACTTAAAATTTATTTATTTATAAGTTAACCAAAAGCTGACCAAGCAGAAATCCAACAATCAAAGGTAAATTATTGCGTGGAAAGATTGCAACACAAATCCTTGCACCTAATGTGTGTTTTGGTCATTTGACAGTGTCTCCTTTCTTTTTCACAATTTAGTTTTGAAGGCCACCAGTAACATTTTTGTATTGAATTTCCTAATTGCTCTTGTTTTAATCTGATCTAACTGTTTTGCTTGTGAGAAAAGAGAGAAAAAAATAAGCAGTACAGTGTAATATGCTGTATCTTCAATGCACTGCTTTAACTCACAGACCCCTGAGATGCTTGTGTAACCCTACAGTAGTGGGTTAAGCGTTTTCTGTTTGGTTCCCTGATTATTATTATTTTGATTTTCGATTCCTGTTTTGATTTTTTTTGTTATCTTCAATCTTAAACTTCATGTACTTGTTGCATTTAAGTTTTAGTCACTATTTAGTATTAAGGCTTTATGGACTGGTGTCAGCAGAACTACCTACAGATCAACACTAAAACCAATCCAAACCAGTAAAACCAAGGAGCTGGTGGTAGACTTCTGCAGGCACAAACATCCTCCACTGCAGCCACTAAACATCCAAGGTATTGATATTGAGGCTGTGGATAGCTACAGGTACCTTGGTGTTCACCTGAACAATAAACTGTACTGGTCTCACAGCTCAAATGCTCTCTACAGGAAAAGGCAGAGCATGCTGTACCCGTTGCAGATGCTCAGGTCTTTTGGAGTGAAGGGCCCACTTCTGAAGACCTTCTATGACTCTGTGGTGGCCTCAGCCATCTTTTACAGTGCGGTCTGCTGGGGCGGCAGCAGCTTGGTCTTTTCTTGTCTTGCACTTCTTGTGAAGTGTCAATAACCATGTCTGTATTAGTCTCCTTTGTGTATTTCTTAAGACGTTTAGTTTTAAGTGGTGGCTCTTCCCACTTTTACTTCTTGATTGGTGAATGGATTGCTTTTACCTTTGTTAATCTTATTTAGCTATGGCTTGTTCCCCACCCATCTCCAGTTCCTGCTATTTTTGCTTAGTCCACCAGTGAGTTATCCGTGTACGTTATTTGTTTAGCTTCCCTGTGCAGGTTTCGAATTCGTGTTTTTGGAATTTTTCCTTGGATTATGTCACATTTTGGATTTGCTACAGAGCCAATAAAGAGCTCATCTTTTGTTCAGATCCTCTGCTCAACACTCCACACACCTACACTGTGAAACAGTCTCTTATTTGGTTTAATTTCATCATTATTCAACTGTTGTTGTTGTTCTTTTCTTTTTCTGTACCTTAAGCGTCAAACCTGTCTCAGGTGTTCTGTTATCGTCCCCTCTTCACATCCATCTTGTTTCTGCGCTCTCTGGTTTCTTTTTATTCTTGTGGTTTTGCATAAGTTCATTTTTAATTGCCAACCTGAGAGTCTGCATTTGGCCTGCATATTGGGTCCTTTGCTAACTTGATCACTAATAGTGCCATTAAGTTATTGAAATTTTGTGTTAAAGTGACCCCTATCCAAAGTCTAACAAGGCAATCTCAATATGTAATTTTTTATTTATTTATTTTTTGTAAATTGTTCTCAAGGCTTGTTCTCCCAAGTCTCGGCAAAACAAACATGTGGACTGCTTAAAAATGATTGGACCATCACCCAATGTAATGTTTATGCCACAAACATCATAAATTAACAGTATTGGTGACTGGTTTTATGGTTCCAGTGTGCACCGGCTCTTTAATTGAAATCCTGGTATATATAAATATACAAATGGCTGAGAGAGGAGCTGGGGAGAAGATGCGAAGTGGTCCCTGTGGGCACTCAGGGCAGTGGCACCCAAACTGGGCAACAGGCTCCAGCAGATCCCAGGAATGACATCCAAGATCTCTGTCCAGAAGAGCACAGGCCTATGAGCAGCAAAGAGACTGTGTAGGACCTTCAAGCTCCCGGGCCTCTGTTAGAGAATCTGAGCTTCACGGATAAAGTCCACCCGCAGGGGTGAGAGGGAAGTTAAAAATAAATATGATATATACATGCATATAGGAATTTGTGTGATAGATTTTTTTCAGTGTAAGATATGTCACTATGACATGTCATGTCATATCATGTCATGTCATAGTGACATTATTGGAGGAATTACAGTTATTTCTCTGCCAGGAATCAGTAGGCTTCTACTGCCATCTGCTGCTTTGAACCTTTAGCACTGCTCAAAACAGAGCAGTGTTTTTGTCAGCATCAAAGCCTGTCATAAAACAAAGCAAAATAAATAAATAAATAATAGTTTGGTTTTTTGATCAAATAAACTGTAGATTGATTTTCTGTTTTAAATACAACATATCCTGTTGACCCTTATGGATTCAATGCAGATTTGAACAGCATTAAAAAGAACAGAAAGTAGTGCCAGGTTAAATATCCCCACCACAACCCCAACCTGCAGCTGCACACTCAGGACACCGGTGGGCTTGGCTGAACTTTCATCTCTCTGACCCTGCTTGTTTCTGAACAGAATAAAAATAGTAGTGTTCCAGTAAACAAGTTATTCAGTGAACTTTAAAGATGAACTCTAAATTCTGCAGCTTGGAAAGTAAGATTTTCACTGTCTATTTAAGATGATAACAAATTCAGATGAACAACAGCACGTGACATATTACCCCCTGTCATTATTTGTGGCGGTATTTTGATCCTCTCTTCTTTCTTCTACAAAGATGCTTCAGGTCACTGAAGTGAGCATTCCTTTATATTCCTTTGAGGTCTGCTACAGCATTTTTGGCAGGTTGCCTCTGAATTGTGCATTACATTACCTTCATTCTGACTTATAACTGTATGCTTCTCCTTTTTTTAGATTATGAACTATTATGAGTAACAAATATATTTTTCTTTTAGTCTTCTATAACTATGAAGAGTTATAGCTAAACTAAGATAAAAACTAAAACTAGATGTGAAAAAATATCCAGTTAAAATAAAAATAAAACATAGACTTTTGAGGAAAAACAGAAGTTACTTGAAACTATTTTCTGAACTGGGAAAATCAAACTAACATAAAGACAGAGATGAAATATCCTTAGTTTGCAAGTTGTATTAATTTTATTATTTCATCTTGTCTAATGATGCTTTGATGCCTTCACCATATGCCTTCCAACCATCCATTCATCCATTTTCTACCACAAATCTAGTGACTCATCAAGCAGAGAAGCCCAGACTTCCCTTTCCCCAACCACTTCCTCCACCTGATTTAACTGCTTTTAACAATAAAAACTGTTTAGAAAATAACTACAAAGAATACACGGACATATAAGTATGTGGCAAAATGTGGATGGATGGAAAATACAAAACTAAATTCACAGAAGCAGCCTTGACACAACCAAAAACCTAAACTAACATGCATATGTTTTAAAAAGAAACAGACAAAGAGATCGCAATAGACTGCAATAGATCTTTTTTACATTTATTAAGAAATCCCATATAGGTTTTTTCCAGTGAAGTGTAACACAGAAACTAATGCAGCAGTAGCACCACCAGCGTGTACCAGTAGACACACATATATATGTGCATTTGTGCTCATGTGCATGACTTTCTCTCGCGCAAAATCACGTCCTGAGGCATCAGTGACAAAAACAGCAGCAGCAACAACATCATAAACAATCATTTTTGTCCAAATTTTCCTGACAACTCTGGATTTGCATTCTGAATTCAAGACGACATAACCAGAAGAAACTAGAAAACAAGCAAACATTAACACATCTAAAAATGAATAAATAACTTTAATGAACAGAGAGTTTTCATGATGAGCAAAAAACCCCTCGGATGTTTTGGTTTACATGAAGCTTGCTCTTTTTTTCCACAGCTGTGAATACCTGCGATTTCACAACTGGTGCCTGGTGTGTTTGGCTGAACTTTCCTTTCTGTAAACATGGACCAAAACTTTCCATTATTGAGTAATCCTATCGCACAGAACAGAATATAAGACCAGTGCGTCCCTCAGTAGTAAGTTATTCAGTGAGCTCTAAAGATTTGTCTAAACTGTGTAAAAAAAAAAAAAAAAGTAGTTTAGATTTAAATTTTGTGACTTCTGCAGCCATGAAGTTGCTTGTGGCTGGGATTTTTCTCATTCTAATTGTGGAAACCAATGCCCAGTGGTATAATTTCCCAATTGAAGCAGCTAAAGGTTAGAAATATGGCATTTTAAATACCTAACAACAATCTGTCATATTTCTCAGATTTTGATATTTTAATTGCGAATGTTGTCATTATTTATTATCAGTACTGTTTTCTGTAATTCTGATCAGGGGCTGGTGATATGTGGCGAGCCTACAGCGACATGAGGGAGGCCAACTGGAAAGATTCAGACAAATACTTTCATGCCAGAGGAAACTCTGATGCTGCACAGAGAGGAGCAGGAGGCAGATGGGCTGCTGAGGTTATCAGGTTTGACAATCTACTTTACTGAAATTCATTTGTATTTTTGATTAACTAATCACTAATTTTTTAAGGCTGCTAATTCTGCTTCTCTCATTTTTTCAGTTTCTGATGTTGTTCTGAAACGTACTTACTGAAGATAGGTGGATTCACTGTCTATTTCCATTTTAGTAACACCAGAGAGTGGGTGCAGGAGAGACTGGGTCATGGCGCTGAGGACTCCGAAGCTGATCAGGCGGCAAACCGTTGGGGGCGAGACGGAAATGATCCCAACCATTTCAGGCCCGAGGGTCTTCCCAACAAGTACTGAGCGCAAAGCTCATTGACTTACAGGAGAATAAAACTGCATGAAGACGCTTCTAGTGTTGGAGTTAGTGAAAACATGGTGTGTTAAATAGCCCAAATTTGTTGTTGCTCAGATACCTGAGCTCCATCAACTGATCACGTCTCCCCTGTAAAAGATGTGCCGGGACCTGAGGTGGGGTGGTGTGTGTGGTACAAGCGGGGAAGCAGGAAAGTTGCCCATTGAAAAAACACTGAACAAATAAAAAACGTGTGAAACTGCAAAAGCTGTTGGTATCAGGTCCATCATTTCCACAGAAACATTTTTTAAAACCAAATACTGTCAGTTGTCCTTCTGATCCGGTGCTACAGTGACCCCGGGGCACTTCCAGTAATCTCTCCAGTGTCTCCTGAGCCTACCCCAGGGCCTCTTCTCAGTAGGACATGGCCAGAACATCTCACGTTGCCATGCTTTGGGGAAAGCTCATTTCCACTGCTTGTTTACACAGCGTTGTTCTTTCAGTCATTACCCAGAGCTCATGACCATACGTGAGGGTAGGAATGTCAACTGGCAGCTTCGCTTTTATGCTCAGGTCTCTCTTCACCACACTGGACCAGTACAGTGCCCATATTCCTGCAGAGACCACACCAATTCATCTTTCAATCTCCCCTCTCCCTTACTCATGAACAAGATGCCAGGATACTTTGGACAAGAAATTTTTCATGTTGTTGCTGTGTGGGCCAGCAACCATCCTAAAGTATATTGTCAAATTGATTATTTAGCACAAATTTGACCAAAGTAATCAAAATGGTTAAAATATATTCATTAATGAGTGCTAAGAAGTCCCATTTTTCCAGTGTATGACACACAAAGCATCAGTGTTCTTAAACATATTCCAGTCTGCTTCTCTGTGTCAGATTTCAGCCTCCCCCATCTCTGGCAGCGCTTTTAGTTGTTGACTCAGTTGTGATGCACAGGTGCAGCCACTGGGTGATAGTGCTGTCTTCTGTCTGAAACCTGAGGCTGTGGTGTTTGTAGAGAAAATTGTCCTTGTCACTTAACTACTGCTTCTATAATTGATGTGAAAACACATCAATATTTTTTTTTCTACACGCAATAAAGTTCAAGATGGATCAGCTGTGGTCTACACAGTTAGTTAGCGAGTCAGTTAAAAATACATTTTTATGTCAATTTTACAATCTGCTTCCTGATTTATTTCTGATTCTGACTTTAAAGACTCTCCAAAATTTGCTATCATCTTTTAGAATTATTTATTGTACTTATATTCAGTGTGGAGCAAGCTATCAGCTCAGCTTATCAACAGGCATATTAATGTGGTAATAACGTTATGCAGGCACAGGGCTGTAAGGCTGCAAAATTAATAATAGAAAATGAACATCATTTCTGAAGCAACAGGAGGTACTTGGCCCTTTTTAATATGTTTTTGTTCTCAGTTTAAGCTTTTCAAATGACATGCAGTGGTTTACTGATCAGTGTCAACATTTCTTATGCTGTCTTTTAACCATTATAAAAAAAAAATAAAGGATTTAGACATTTTGCAAAGTATTGGATTCTGTTTTTACGTATCTCACACAGTGAACCAACTTTTACATACAGGGTTGTATTATTTTTCAACAATATTTTTGCATATGGTCTTTCTGTATACACTAACAAACCATTCATGTTCCTGTGCCATTAAAAGAGTTCAAAAATGAATCACCTTTCGGTAGTAACATTGTTTAGAGGTTTTATCTATAGCACCTTCTGGAAACAGAGCTTTGAGTTATTATCGAGTTATTATCAGAAACTCAATTTATTAAAAGGTCAAAGTTTGATTGATTGATTGATTGATTGATTGATTGATTGATTGATTGATTGATTGATTGATTGATTGATTGATTGATTGTCTATTTGTTAGCAGTCTAGCATCCACAGTTTTCAAGATAGTATCTTCACATTTTGTGTGGTGACAGATACCAATAAGCTAGAGCTAATTTAATTTTGTTAAAAATTGGCTCAAGGTCACACTAAAGGTGAGAATCAGTAAAAACGTTATATTACCCACATTTTTTATGGATCATGTTCAAACTTCATAACAACATACTAGGCATTGGGGGACATGAGCACCTAGGTGGGCTAATCATTTGACCTTGCATTTAGATGTTTTTGACTATCTCTCAGTTCTTTTAACTGTCCCACTTTGCCCCACGCAAATACTATGTTTGTCCCACATTAGTTTGTCGGGATGTGGACGCTCGATTTCCTGTTTCCAGCGGTTATACACTGTGAGCTACACCACCTAAGCCCTCTTTGTAATGTAACAGTGACGGTGTAGTTCGAACTGCCGCTCGGGTGGGGTAGCTGGCTCTTGTGTGAGTGTTTCTATCTTTTCTTTTCTTTCTTTTTTTTTGTGCCGACCAGACAACCGCAGAGGGCTCGCTTTGCGTTATGCTCGTTCCGGGGTTCCGCTGCCAGCCGCTGTACTCCGTACGCTTTCTGTCGGTGATACACACACAAACGCACACACGCACGCACACCGAGTGATGCGCGACCAGCCAGCTCCATCTCTCGCAAATCTCAACACGAGGTGACTTGAGCAGCATATGACATTTTCCAGGTAGGATGTGTTTTGTTTTGTTTTTATTAAGAAAAGATACAAGCACGGTTGATCCCCGGTAACGGTTACAACCTCTACGCCTTCCTCCCAGGCATCGGGGAGGAGGGACAGGGTGCATGGATGCTGATCGCCCTAGCCCGTGGATCTGCCTTTAGCATCAGTGTTAACAACGGGGCGCTGAGCTTTGACCGAAATCGTTTCTTGCTGCCGAAGTTTATGATTCAGAGTGCTTGTTCTCACGGACAGCTCAGTTAAAAAGAAAAAAAAAAGAAGCTCAGAGTAGGTCTGCTGAGACCTGCTGCTACAATTCTCGGTGATTCATCCATGCGCAGCCGAGTCTACGCCTAAAATTATCGATTGTACTTATATTGCAAATAGGCCTTTAGTTTCTCACGAGACGAGGAAGGTCATTAAATTTGGATGTCCTTAATGGGCACAGATCTTTTCCAGCATCGTTTTATTTAAGGGGGTGGAAACCTCAGGCGTGTGCAGTTCTCTTTGTGGAAATGGCCCGTTTTCCATGATATGTGCCCATTTTCTTATAAATATACCCCATCCATGCCATTTCCCCACACGTGTGGGGAAATGGCATGTAATTGAATGAGATATTAGGTTAAGGAAGTAAAGTTAAAAACAAGTAAGGTGCATTAGTCCCCACCACTTATACTGTTATATCCCTTTACTTGAAATCAAGTTAAGCAAACTTGAATGTATCTGAAGCCTGTGTTTAATATTAGATTTGTGTATCATGCAGTTCCAGCCACAGATGCTGGTGAGGGCAGATGCTGACAGCATTGTGTCTGCCTGTTCATTGTGTTCAGAGGGAGCAGGGGACAGGCTCACAGGCTCTGCTTTGTATCACGCAGCATCTACCCTGATCCAGACATGCAGAATGAGTTTCAGTGTAGCCATCATCCACTTGTATGGCATCCCCCTTTTTAGCTGTTTATAGTACAACTCTTGTTTTGTTGACTTCCCTGACAGCAGCAGCAATGTCGATGCTGACCCACGGTCGGATAGATTTTAAGCTCCGTAATGTTATTACGAGTTACATAAGCCTTAAAGGATTCGCAGTGATACAGCCATTCAGTATTTTATAGTGAATCTCTGTGGTATGATCAGGTGGCGTCGTTTGATCTGTGAAACAGGCCATGATAAGATTATGTTCACAATCTACAAACATACAACGAAAGCATTTGGATAGTAGGTCACTGACATTATATAGATACATTTGCAGCATCTTACCCATGATTATAAAAAAGCAATCCTGCAGCCACATATCACCCGTTGCCAAAAAAGCTAAATGCTTTATAACTGATTTACTAATCTTTGCAATCTGTTAGTGTGCAGGTAGAGGAAAAAATGAGGAGAAATTTATAAAACTGGTACAAGTCAAGAGGTTAAAGATGGGAGTGTGCAACAGATGGAAAGAGAAGAACAATGGCTGTGTTCAGCTCAGGAAGAGGGTGGTGAACAGGACTGTGGAGGATGAGTGCAGAGAGAGGAGAGTAATGTATGGCTATTAAAGGAAGTAAAGGGCCCCTGGAGAGCCATGACAGATACTCATAAGGATGTGCACAGCATGTGAACTCGCTGGCGTGTTTAGAGTAGAAATGTCAGGTTTTTATCATTATCACCCCCTCCTACCAGCCAACCCCTCCCCAATCACCTTCCACCTTTTCCTTCAGGGCAGCGCTTTCTCTATAACATCCTCCTGTGCGTGGCTCTTCCACCACCACCCCTGCTTTGTCTCAGGGCGGGGATCGTTTTCTGTGTAGCACCTGCAGTGAAGGACAGTCACCTTTTCTGCAGCCTGTTGGGATCTTGTTCAAGGCTGCAGTCGCAGGATACCAGATTGGACGCTGGGGGAAAGCCAGAAGAGGGCAACAACCTCTAGCCCTGCAGCGGAAATAATAAAAGATAATTAGTATTTGGAAATCTGTGATTAAATCATGAATAAGCTGCTCAGTTTTAACATGCAACGGCATAAATGACTCTGTCTTAGCATTGTGGATAGCTGTGCCATAGGGGAATTTCAATATCCATTACATGATATCATGAGCAATATCTTCTTAAAAGATTTGGTCTGTAAGCTGTGGATTTCATATGCAAAATGTTTACAGTTTGTAATCTGTTCATAATGTTTGCATAACTGAAGATACAATAAAAGACTATCGTGCCCTTGAGCGAAACATTCCAAGATCAATATACAGTATCTGTTCATTTTCACGTGCCATTAAAATGAAATCATGACTTATGATGGGCTTTCTCTACAGTCTGGTGCTGTAGTGTTGTTACATTGGGTGAAAACTTAGAGGAAGCAAATTTCCTACACAGAACGTCTTGATGCATTCTCAATCATCCAGGAAAGTAAATCTCCAAAAGTTGATTCTGTTCATCTGGACGTAGCGTTTTGTGGGAGAAACGTTTCGTCACTCATCCAAGTGACTTCTTCAGTCTCAGTTGACTGCAGGTTTCCCCAAATCTTACAACACAGAGCGAACACCATCCCCTCTGACACAGCGGCCAGGGAGGCAGAAGAACAGCACATCAAGAAGGCCCTGAGTAAATGTGGCTATCCCAGCTGGACTTTTGTCAAAGCGGGAAAGGCACCTAAAGAAAGCTCCAGCAGGACAACCGCTGCCCAAGCGAAAACCTGTAGTGATCCCATATGTGTCAGGAGTATCGCAACAGTTGAGATGCATTTTTTCTAAACACCGGGTCTCTGTGGCTTTTAAACCCCAAAACACGCTGCGCCAAAAATTGGTCCACCCCAAGGATCGGGTCCCCGACACAAACAGAGTAACATAGTGTACGCTGTTAAGTGCCAGGAGGATTGCCAGGATTTATACATTGGGGAAACCAAACAACCTCTG